ACACACACACACACACACACACACACACACACACACACACACACACATAGGTATATATAATTAATTTACACGATGTAAGTAGTAAGTACCTTATACGATCAACATTAAAACTAATTGAGTTTAAAGTTTAATAATAATAAATGTCAGAAATTTTGATTATCTCAATAAACTCTTTTGATATTCAACAGCTAAATTGTATTTTAATAACTTTTTTATATACTTGATTGCATATTATAATATTCATACATCAAAAGATTTATTTACGTAAAATATTTAAATACCTATAACGGCTATAACATTATATCTCTCTGAATATGTTGCGGTCAGTGTTATAAGTAGTAATAAAATAGATAAAACATCAGTAATCGGTACTAGGCTCAAGTTAAAATACCCTACCTATACTAATTATATCAGAACGAAATAATAATTACCTATGGAAGTATAGAAGTATAGAAGTTCATACTATTTAGGTAATCTGTATCAGTTATTTTTTCTTAGATGAATTTTATATTTTCGAAAGCACAATAGGCACCTGCATGGTTGCATATATGATATATGATATTATAGTTCATATCCATAGTGTACTATATGATACACTGATATACAATATATTATTATTATATCTATATGGCTATGTATAACATTGAGTATGATCTTAATGTTCTCGTTGAAATTTTACAACAGACAATACGTATACAACGTTTATGACGTCGAACGTGTTCTATATAGTATTATTATTGTAATGGGTAAATTCCAAATGAAAATACACGTAATTAAACCTACTCAAATAAAATATTGAATCCGTTGTAATATAATGGTATGGGATAACTAAAACGCACGAAATTCATAAAATTCGTGCAATTAACTGTTCGTATCAGGCGCGAACTAAGTCAAAACGACAACATAACAAACATCTTGTCCAGTTTTCTACCGATAACTGTTACAATTTAATCATTTTTAATTTTAGTAAAATATTCAACATTTGTATTCAAAGAAGGGTAGTTTCTCTGCTGTACAGATATATAATACGGGTTAAAAATGTATCTATCTTATCACCGAGGCCACTGTAATATATGTACGTGTCAATTATTAAGTTTGAATGCAGTGATAAACCAATGAATACGAAAAACGTTTCTGATTAGAGAAATGTGTAAACTTCTATTTCTGAGTATAATTTATAATTTATTTACACTATTATATGAATAATTTATTATTCTGATAGTAATAATGTGTAATAATAAATTAATATGTGAATGTTTAACTATTTTTTGTATAATATATATTAAATAATAATTATATCTTATTGTTATCTAGAAAATAAATATTTCATTAAAATTTCAACCGATTGGATTTAATTTTTTACCAAAAACCACTTTCAAAGTTGAATAAAGAAGTATTTTTATCGCTTTAAAATGCAAAAAATGTAAGCACAAACAAAAACACTTACAAATCATTGTAAAATTAATATATTCATCGCTCCACTCTGCAGTAGATATTAAAAACACGGGTTAATTTTATAAGTTAAAAGCTGATTTAGTTTTTATTTGAGTACTGGATAAGTGCATGAAATATAAAATATAATGGACTGAAAAAAAAAAAATATTAAAAAGTAAAAAAAAAAATGAATATTGGTTATTTGACCGAAATATCCTTGAGTAGCGCGTATATCGGTGTAGACAATTCATTCAATCATATCGTTCAGTCTAGTAAATGTTATGTCAGACTTTTTATTCGTTGAATATAGAGGTATTGATACAAATTGTAAATATAATATTATAAATCACCAATATTATGAAATTGATTTTTTCGTAATGATTTTTTATTTTAATTATTACATTTCAAACTAATAAACTAATATATTATTTTTTATATTTTATATTTAATTAATGTTTTACTGTTTTACTATTGATAAGCGTGTTTGTTATTTAAAAATGATTACGGCCTAACTATTTTACTCAAATTCAATACATTGTAAATTAATAGCTGTATAATAATAGTGCATGATAAATATGTAATAAATATATGTATAACTAAAACCATTGATTTAGAAATGAAATACGTTCCAATCAATAAACTGGCAACTTATATAAATTACACGAACGACCTACCTATCTATTAAAATATTTTTACTTTAAGTATAATATATATATAATATTAAATTAACTTAGTTCATAAATATTTACCTACCGTAAATATATAATTATATAAATTATGTTTTAATTCAATAATTTTATAACTCATTTATTTTTTTTTTTTTTTTGTTACTTTTAGTTTTTTATGACTTATTGTTGATTATTATAAAAATTGAGGATTGAAATTCTTTTATAAATAGTTCATAAAAATCATGTGTTGAATGCAGACACATAACAGTTCAAGTATTATTGTATTATCCTACATTTTACAAATTATTTTATATACAATTTATATTAATTATTTAAAAATTGAAGCTAACGGTCTTAAAGTCATATGCGTGTAACGTATTTCAATACAAAAAAATCTAAACCATTAGGAGACGAATAGACCTTCCTCTTGTATACATAACTACTTTGAGTATCCACTCATCACTTGTTAAAACAGATGACTAAAATAATATTAATGAAGATTAAATATAACTGTTTTATAAATTATATACATAATATACAATATTATAATGACAATTTACAAAATAATAGCATTAATAATTTTAAGTATACGTGGGTCCGCAGCTTTTATAATTTTTGTAACAGTAAAAAATCACTTTTCCCGACAAATTCGTTTTCCTGATTTCGGTACCTTAATATTAATGGATTGATTGTTTATAAAGCCTTATTGATTACACGTAGGTATATAAATTATAATAATAAAATTATATACAATACACACAATTATTTAAATAAAAATATAATTTTTAAATAAATATTTAAATCTTACCTTTGTTAAGTTATTCTTTAAAACAAAATTAATGTATAATTTAGGAATCCTGAAAACAATATATCATAATAAACTATATACATTGTGTGTTTTTAAAGCTAAAAATAAAATATTCTTCCGTCATATTATAACCGATGAAATCGGTGCAACAACAAAGGAAATAAAACTGGGAGTGAATTATCGAAATATAATATTATATAAAGTACCAAGTGATATATTTAATGGATATCTGCAACATTAATTTTCTTCATTGTGAATTTGTATGGTTTTTTTTTTTACTTTTTTTAAACGGCAATCAATATTAATTTCATATTATTTTGAAGCTAAATACTTTCTAAGAATTTTGAAGTATGAATATCGAGTACTAATCGAAATCTATAGCAATTTGGTAAATGGGAACTTTAAGATTATCGTGACTTCCAAAAATATACTTCAGATGGTAATAGTTGAGTCATATATTTTCACTAAAAGGTTGACAAGATTATTTTACAATGTTTAATTGTTGATAGTATTATTTTTAGATTCTGAGCTGAACGATGAATGTATTGATTTTACAATGATGTGTTTGGTGTGTATATACATATACGTGATATGTAGTCATCGAAAAAAGGTTCGATTTTCAACTTTGAGAGTAATTTTTGATGGAAAATTGGATATAATTTTTATGTAAGAGAGATAAAAATAAAAATCTCTAGTATTTTTAAAATAATTTGAAAAAACAAAGAATTGAAGAAAAACGGAAATTTTTACGCAGAACCAGATTTTGATAAAATTAATTTTTTTCTGGTATACTTATACCTAACCCTATACCTACTTAATATTTTCACTAAATGTTTATGTCCGATTTCCTTTATAAAGTATAATTTTCAAAATATTTTTGCTCTTTAGCTACAAGTATTTATAGACACTAAAAATTTTTCATTTTTTTTTCATAAATTCTAATAAAAATTCTTTGTTAGGCAACAATAATTGAAATTTATGAAAAGTTCTTCCTAAGTTATTAATTTACAAATTTACAAAAAAATTGAAAATTACAATATTTTTTTATAAAAAATTTAATTTAAAATTTTAAAGAATTTTTCAGTACCTACTTTTAAAAATAATTGATAAAAACAAAATTATAAAAAATGAAAATATTTATGCAAAACCAGTTTTAGACCAATTAATTTTGTTTTTTAAGGATTAAAAGTTTAATACATATAGCCACAAGTTTTCTTCTTTTAAAAATCAGAATCGTGAATTATTTGTAGACATATGTGATAGACGGCCTACAATCAGAATCGCTACACAAAGATATATTTCATAGCATTCATATTTAAGACATTCATTAAAGTGACCACAATGACTTAATGATGAGATACACTTGAGTATTCGATAGGTACCTATTAAACAGCTCAGTGACTTCCTAGATAGTTAAAAATAATGATTTTTTGTAAATCTGACATATACTAACATATTATTTTATACAAACATTAAATATTTAATGTATTTCAAATAAATAAATAATTAGAATTAAAGTCTGTAAGTCGATAGTTTCTAAATGTTAGAAACTATCAACTAAAAAAAATAAAAATATTACAATAAAGATGCTTTATTCGTTTTAGTAGGTAATGAATAAATCCGAATTTGAATTGTATTTTGATCGTTTTTAAAAAATTACAATGTGATGAACTCGTAGTCCATACAAACGTATTTCTATGTTCCACAGGTATTACTCGTGGCAATGGCATGTGTAGTGCACTATGATCTATTGGGCTTGTTTCCAATTTATCCGTACAAACGGCGCATTATGTACATGGACAACAAACGGCTACATCAGCCTGCGTCCGAGGTCGACCACCTGTGGATACCGAAACCGGGCACGGACCTGAACACATTCTATTCACTACCGCAGCCAGTCATCCTGTACGATCATGATGGCGACGGCGGTAGCTACTGGACGGACTCGGACGACTATGATTATGACGACAGTATCCATGGTTATCGCGAAAACACCGATGATAAGAGTTCCGACGACCAAGTCCATCGACGCTGTTCTACGTCGGATACTGACGTCGACAGCGTTCTTGCGACTATCATGACCCAGGAACCGAACATCCCCGACGACTATGACGACGACAACGATTACATCGCTCCCGGACAAGAGAAGGACGATGACATTTTTTGACGTACTTCCATTACCAATGTCAGGAATTTTCATAAATCGCGATGACATTCCTATATTGCTATAATTTATTAATATCGATCGAATGATTTTTAATACGTAGAGGTTAGATATACAATATAATATATATACTTGTTTTTATAAGTCCCGTTGAAGATACTATATAGGTAAAGTGCTGGGTTTGATCTTAAAGAATTTTTACCACATTTTGTGTTTTATGTACACATATAATATAATCAATCGTATTGTCTACTCGTACCCTTCTAGGTAGTTTAGGCGAGATAGGTATTATGTTTATAAACGCCTTCAACCTTCGTATAATATTTTCATTCCCTCGGTACTAAATTGTCTCAACATTTCTATTTGCGTGTTCTTGTACCTATGTTGTTCATACGATTATATTATAATATATATAAATATTTAATATATTATAAATTGATATATTATAACCCATACACCATTATGAATTTGTAGTTTATAAAAGTATGAATATTATAATCAAATAATAAACGTAACGAAAAAGCAAAAACTGCATTGTTTAAAGTGATTTTTATGTTTGATTCTTAATCCAATTGCACCGTAAAGTATAATAATTATTATTTTCTAGTTTTATATAAGTTATTTTATTTATTATTGCATAAAGAAATATGTTTAGGTATGAGCATAGTGGTTATACACGTTTGCACACGTGTAACTGTAGATATTATTGAAACGTATCAAACAAAATTGTTATTACATTGTTAGTAAACAATTTCAATTTGTTTGACTTTTGTTAAAAAAATATTAATATGTTAGGTATATATACTTAAGAACACCATTAAATTCACGCTAACAGCCAATATTTCAAAAGGACCGAACTTAATTATCCAACAATATATACTTGGTATAAACATTGTTGAAAAGGTCTCATAATTTATTTGAATTTGATGTTTAAGATTTAGAGTGGAGCGATAAGTGTATTGGGTTTTTCAATGATATATGTTCTTTTTATCTGTCTATCATATAATATGTATATTTTATATAATATCTTAGTCAGGGTATAATATTATATTATCGATGCTAAGAGGACATCGTACCCACATATGTTGTTTTCGTCTTATTATATACTAACGTACATCGAAGCAAATTTGAGTTCAGCAGAAACCATTTTATGCTGTTTGCTTTGATAGTAGAGTACATTTATTTCTTATTAAACTTAAAGGTAAGAATTATTATCTAGAGTATCACGTAGGTTTTTATTGATATTTTAATTTTAAACTGAGTTAATAATATGATAAGTAAAAAAAAAATTTGTATTATAAATTGAACACGTTATGAAACAATGAACAATATAATTAAACAAACGGGTACTTAAAAGTTAAACTAACAACTAAAAACTTACACACTCTTACATTAGTTGTTATTTTAAAACAAACTATATAGATATTATTAAAAACAGGCATTGAATGTTATGGAGATTCAATGATTCATCATAAAAAAACAATAATATGCTATTTTCCATCGGTCCCTAGACATTTCCTTTACTATTCAATGTAAAAACCACATATTAAGACGCTCAGGTTTTCTCTATATCATCGGATAAAACGCTTTTTTGTTCAGCAGATTACGATAATTGTTAGTAGTTTTGTAAAAATAAAAATAGAAATTTTACTCGTTTGCTTGTTTTTATCGTTTTATTTTATCACTATACCTATTTAATCATTACCTATTATAACAGTTTTACTGTACTCTGTCGTATTATGAGATTTAATAAGTAGTTTGCAAGTTTGCAACACCTAACTGAAATTCGAAAATATTATCCCCAGTAGAAAATTTCAAAGAAATGTTGGGTTATCTTAATAAAATAGAAGACTTTTTTGCTGAAACGCATTTTAAAAGTTGTAAGCAAACAAAATTAAATATTTTTTTTAATGAACAATAATAAAATATGTAATAATAATTTTATTTTAACCTCTTCCCGCATAGAGGCATCAAATGGTGCCATATATATTTATTTTTATTAAAAATCAGCTTAAATTATAACAGTCTTCATATATCATTCTACATTATGATAACATAGTAATGTTTATATTTTACTAGTATAGGTAGCGCTAGTCATATTTAAAATTGGTAGAAAATGACTAAAAACAGAAAGACTACAGCTTTCCAAAATTACTACAAGTCATCCACTTTAGACAATTTTTTTCATACATAAAAATCAAATAAACTTTTCGAAAAAAATATTTCTGAATAGATTTATAACTTTTGTTTAAGATAATATTAATTAAAACCGGTTTTGGTAAATGGAAGAATTTTTATAGCGAGATTTGTTGATGGAAACATTTGGTGCCAGCCCGATTTGGTGGATGTATTTTTTCAATCAATTTTATGACGTTTTGTCTATTTACGTACAAACTATTGCATGTCTTTACATGCGTCTTATTTTTTGTTTTTATTTCATCTATGGATTTTAAATTGTTTCCATTATTATCAGTACGTTGTGTTGTTGTACGAGTAAAGTATTGTTTATTTGGTCTCATAAATATATATTTTTTTTCAATAATTTGTGAAAATGTCTAAATTAAATGAACATACTATTGCGGATTTGTTGGATTTTGAAATGGATGAAGACGAAATGTCTATACCTTCTGGGTCTGAATTTTCTGACCAAGAAGAGGACGAAGAACATTTTTTCAGTGAGTTTGATGTACCAAATTATAATACTGATAATAATTGTTTCGATGATATTATGGATTGGCCTGTAGAATGTGTGGAAAATACAGACGTACTTCCCACATCTACCAATAACATTCACGTAGATCAAAATCCTATTATTATAAGTGTCCCTCATATTTCATTACCTAACCTAACAAGTAGGTAAATTTTAAATTGTAAAATTTTTAAAACGATACAAGTAAAACTTTTTTTTTGTATGTAAATTAATTTTTTATTTCAAGCTATAAAATAATTAACTAACAATTTTAAAATTTGGAATTTAATTTTTTTTTATATTTGATGTATATGTATGTTATCATAAAATAATTAATCAATTAATACTTCTTTTGTTTTATAATAATAAAATTTAAACATATTTTATACACTATTTATTTATTTGTTTGTGGTAATGTAGTTGAGTACTTCAAAACGGGATGGCACCAAATGTTGCCGGATTTTGTTTTTTAAATATCTTTTTAAATAATGTTTTGATATTTTTTTAAGTATTTTTTTCGAATTCTACGTCAAAATTTACATATAGGTACATTTTTTTTTTGTTAATAAAAGAAATCATGCATGAAGAGGTTAAATACAATTTAGAAGCAATAAATATATGTATGTATGTAATTATAATTAATATATTAGTGTATTGCCCATTAAATTATATTCAATAATAAAATAATTAACTCCATATTTCAATCACTTCGTTTTTTTTTTCATTCCCACATAAGACGCTTTTTCACTTAAAACTTTCTAGAAAGATGGTCCCTTAAAGAGCGTCTTAAGCGAGTTTTACTGTAATCGTAAAATTAAGGTTATTTAATAGTGATTATTTTTACCAATATAATGTTACTTCTGTGTGTTGGTTATAAGGATAATCATATACCTTAAATATATACAGTATAGAATATATAAATACCACTTGAATAACTTTTTCAATTATTAGATATTTTTATTTTTTATTTTAAGTAATTTTTCAAAATCTAATTCGTGATTTTTAAATGTAATAACTGCTTTCAATAACCATTTAGTTAACCAATTGTTTGGATAGTATTACTTTAAAAAACTGATATTATGATGGTATTTTGTCATGATTTGATTAATACTGTTGCCTCAAGCTCTTTTTTTTTAAAAGCAAAAAATTAAATATAAATATTTATTCGTATTACTAATCAAAAGCGTAATTTAGAAGTTAGAAGGGACTAATAGCAATTTAAAATCAACCATTTAAGGAAATTTTTAGTTTACATTATATTTTCAAGCTATTAAATTGAAAAGCATAAATTTTATCTATGTAAATTAAAAAAAAATATATATATATCAAATTTATTATTTAATTTAATAACAAAAAATAAATAATTAAGCAAACTCGTGACAAAAACCGGTACTATACTACTATGTAAATATTCTAGTTATTTTTGTTAGTTTTTCCCATTTATTTTAAAAGTATAATAGTTAGTTATTGGTAATAATTCAGTACCGACTTATTACCTATTGACTACTCAAAGTGTCACCTTATAATTCACCAATTGGTTTAATTTCTTACCAGAAACTACCCTAAAAGTTATATTTGTTATTTAATATATTATTTTCATCATGTCTCATTTAAATATTTAAGTATATTATTGTCTAATTATTAATTAGTAATTAATATTAAATCTTTCATTCCTAATTTCAAACTAAAATTGCGCTTTATGTTGTTGTATTGATAATTTTTAATATTATTATTTTACTTACCTAATTTCAAATTTTTCTTCTTGCATTAATTAATGGTTTAAAAAAATTTCCTAATTTTTATTTTATATATTTCGTGTATGAAAAAACATGTTGTAATAGGAATGATAATGTAGTAATCATTTAAAACATAGAGTCTCAAAGACTAAAGTTACCTATGCGAGTTAAGTCAGAGTTTCTAAACCTTTTTACGGCTGTATCGAAAAGTAACAATATTTTCTAGTAATCCTAGAATATTTTTAACTTAAATTAAATATACCGAGCTGATAACTCTACGCGGTTTTTTTTTTTTTTGTTTAATGTCAAAACATCATAATTTAACAGTTGTAGTTTTACTTTACTAAAATTGAATAAACGCGTTTTTTTTTTTTTTTTAATATCCTAACAAATGAAAAAAAAAATGTTATTAATTTAAACGTACAAATACACGGTAGATGGGTGTAATACCAACACAAAGATCTGATACAATACATACATGGAATAGGTAACTATTATTGTTTACTGATTTCAATATATTATGTACTAATTGTTTTTATTAATTGGCCAATATAGCACAACGCGTCGTAATGTTTAATCAATAAAATAATATATTGAGAAAAGTAATTGGAAACCAGGGTTATTGTGACAATAGCTATTGTACCTATTAAATTTTTCAAAACTTTTTTAACACCGACCAACAGGATTACAGAAATCGCCTATAAAAGTGCAACTTACCATCACACACACACACACACGCGTGCGCGCGCGCCTAAATATTCACATTATTATACATAGACACCTTTCTAAGGCAATCTGACAGGGTGACAAAGTATTCGCCATGAGCCGGTCGAATTCCAGGTCCACGAAAGACGCACTGGCCGCGACGTCGTCGACTGACGCGAAAAACGGAAGACCGTCGAAAGCCCACCATCCTCCGATCGAGGGCAAACGACCGCCGGTGGACTACAGCTCCGTCACCGACGACAGGCACGCGGCGGACGCGAAGCCCAAGTGCGCGCAGCCACCCGGATGCCTGCCCAACGGGTGCATCAAGACGGAACAGCATTTCGCGTGCGACCGCCAGCTGGTGAAAACGCTGGCGCAGTACGTGTCGCCGGACGAGCGGAGGAAGGTGCTCATGTGGCTGGACGTGCTCGGCGAGATGACGCTGGACGACGACGAGCTGTCCGACCGGTCCATGTACGTCACGTGCCTGATGCTGTTGCTCCAGTCCGGCCAACTGGTGCCTCCGTTCACGAGGGTGCCGCCGCCGCGTCCGCTCAAAACGCTCCGGGACGTGATCGACAAGCGGCTGTTCAAGAAGGTCCAAATTGAGTGCCGGAAGCGCAGGCTGTACCAGCGCGTGCAATACGAACACCCGGACCGCAGCGTCGCGCAAAGGCCGTCCGACTTTTACGAGCACATGCCGACGCCCAAGGAAGGCATATTTTGCTACGGGGCGGCGTTTAGTACACTGCAGTGAATTTTTGATTTACGACGTAGTGTAACTCTGTACCTACGATGCAATACAACAAACGTGATCTAGAATGATTTATTTATTGTTATCGTTATTCGTGAAAATATGATCATTAGAATTGCTGGTAATCCAGTACCTAGGTTCCCACCTGGGTATATTACGTATATTATTACGACGCGTGCGATCTGTTTTTGGAAATAATTAATTCAAACCCGTAGACACGAGCAATAGTGGACTTGATTTGGTAACACGGTCCATGATTGATTATTATTGTATGTTTAATAATAATTTATGAAAATCGTCCATAATTCAGAATCGTTTTACGTACCTATTATACGCAATATAGTTAATCATTAAATATTTAACACATTTATACACATCCGTCTGTGTATACTCTGCAATGGTGAGGTTCTGGTGTCGCAACTTAGAATTTTCGAGAATATGGGGCGAAGTCGAAGAACTAAAAATGTACAAATTAATTGTTATCGTAATATAATTTATATAAGTTTTTTGCATAGTTTTAATTGTGATGGCTGTAATATAGGTGCGTTATATTGCCCGAGTTTGAATTGTTAGGTAGGTACCTAACTTATGCCTTTACCAACTTTCAAATAAAAAAAAAAAAAATAAAAAAAAATAGATTTAAATAGTATATTATTTAAGCTTTGCCACCATAAAAAATTTCTAAGTCGAGTACTTATTCCTGCCTCCTCCATTTATCGATTCACTAAGTTTTTTTAAATGTTACGCAACTCTGAACTCTATGTACATGACTTTTTCTTGATCCGATATGGCTTACCTTCCATCAAAATGAATTGTTGAACCTTTTCAACAAAATATCAGTTTTTGAGTATTTCATAAAATTTTAATTTAGGCAAAATTTATTGCATTTGCATACCAACCTTATTTTCAATAATATTGTGCAATGTTACTTTGTCTCTTTTGTTGACAATGAAAAATGTCTACATGTGTAGATAGTATTTATGAATTATGAGCATGATAATTAATATTTAAGCAATATTCATCTTCGATTTCAGTTGGGAATTTCAGTTAAGAATATAAAAGTAAATACATTTTAAAGGTATTTTAAAATTTATTTTGATTTTTTGCATCTATAGATACAAAATCACTTTTCTTTTCATTTTTTAAATAAAATGTTATTTTATTAAAAAAAAAAAAAAATTAACCATTCATTGAAATTTAAAGTATACAAAAATAATAGTTTTACTTAACATATCCAGAGGAAAATAATTTTTTATTAAATATTTATTTAAAAAGAAACATTTAAGACTTAGCAATTTTTTTTTTTTTTTTATTACTTTATTAATAAATTTGTTGATAACTTTAATATTTATTATTATGTTGGTTTTTTTTGTTCTTGAAATACATTAGCTTCTAATCACCAGTGTTCCCAATCAATTTTGTTTACATATCTACATCAAATTTGAATTATTTTTTGTACACATTTTTTTTTTACTTTGACCAACTATCCTAAAAAGGTTCTCTAAATATTATTTATTAATGAATTCAAAACCTAATTCGTATTATCCAGTTTTATTATCATTATTTTTAAATTTATGTTGCATATTATTATTTTAAAAACAAGAACATTTGTACGACTTTTTTTGCTAAATAATATTTTTATACAAATTATCTACTTATTGCAAACCTGTTGATAATGGTTGTGTAAATTACTAGACTAATTTATTTAATAGTTTAATCATTATAGTTTTAAGTTAATAAAATAGTTACAATGATACATACTTTCCAAGTTCTGATATTGATAAATACTATAACATTGTAAATATCAAAATATAGAGATTAAAAATAGTATAAAATGCCAGATTTACAAATATTTAATTATAGCATAACTAGCAACATATAATTTTAAGTCATATATATCATATTATTATTTTATTAATTTAAAATTAAAATAAACAACAAATACAATGTATCGAATGCGTCTAAACACTGTATTTTTATAATAATATGGTCTTTTTAATCATACATTATACATTAATGTTTAAGATATATCACAATAAAATAGATTAGATTGGGTCTTATAAATGTAGTTGTAAAAATAATAATTATGTTAATGTCAACAGAAACCAGAAACATTTTTTCATCTTCGGTAAACATACAATTACATATTACATTTTATATTAGAACAAATAAAGAAACAATTAAACTTAACTGAACTAAAATTAGATTTGTTAAGACTTTTGCATTATTGTTACAACCCTTTGCATTCAAAAATATATGTACATATATAATTATAAGACACACACTCACCCACTCTCATATACATTAAATATTGTACTTAATAAGAAAAAAAATTGTATTTTTTTTAAGTTTTGTTCAACATAATATAATAAATCACTAAATATTTTTTATATTTTATTTAATGATTCTTACAATTTATAAATATATAGGTAATAAATAATAATATATCAAAATACGATGGACTTGGAGCACGCATAGTTAAAGCGGGATAATAGTTTGTAGCACAATAGCGGTTTACAGAGCATTTCACAGTTACCAGCTATTGTAGCTAAGTGTGTGCAACCTATAACAATATAGTTAAAATGGCAATTGGGCATAAAGAGCCTGGGGTAAATGCAACTTGATAAAATCAATCAAAAGATTTTCATTATTGTATATTCGAGGTTTTTTAAACACTTATATAATTATATATTTATATTATTGGTTATATTTCATACAACATACTTCAAGTTTAAAACAATTTTACATAAATAATACGAGAATCTTAAATATATCGTAAAAAGAGCAGCCCCGACTAAGTTACAAAAACTATCCTTGATCATTTATAAAATTTGAAAAAAAATTAATAATAAAACAAAACAAAACAAAGTTACAATGCACCGTATGTAAATTAAAAATAACGACAAAACGCTTAAGTCTATTTAAATTTTCTTACAATTGAGTAAATTAAAATAAATGATATATTTTACTGATCATCAAAAATATGAAATCAGAAAAAATAATATAAAACATAATATTAAAACTCTGGAATAGCTATATATTCGACGATTCATTTGGAACGTTTATAAAATATACAATAACAATTTTATTTATGATCAGTTTACATAATATACAAAACATTAATTTAAAACTCATTCTATATAGAAAAGTTAAGGTAGAATTTAAAACATTTATGTTATGATTTAGTAGTAATTTTTACTTCGAGAAATGTAAATTTACCAATAAAAAATTGGGAAAGCAAATCTAAAAAAACAAAAATAAAACACAAAATGATATGTACAGGTTTTTTTGTATTATGTAAAACGTCAACTATATAATTATGTAGTATAAATAAAGTTAGAAAAAAAATATTTTTAATTATATTTTATGTTACATCTCAACTGAATATTACTCAACTTTATACATTTTATAAAGCGTTAAACAAAAAATAAATATTTTGTAAGAAAAAAATCTCATAATCAAGAATAAAATTTTAGGAATAATTTTGTTGGTTAAAGTATCATTTTCACGATCAATAAATAAAAATATTCGAGCAAAAACTGATAATTAACGCTAATATCAGCCTTTGTACACAACCGAATTGCAAAATATTGAAAGCATATTATAGATATAATTTTGACATTATTTATTGGTTTTCCGTGCACGTTATTTTAAATTAATTTATAATTATATATTTTAATATTGATAATGAAAAATGGTAATAGTATATAGTTTGGTATTGACGTTTCATACTTTTCGTAGACGTTAAGAAAATTAAAACAATAACCATAATATAATCATTATTAATAATTATTATTACATTTATCATTATTCATAATATATATAGCTGCGCAACAATTATTTGTTATATGTATTATTTTATATTCCCCTTTTCAAATTTTGTTCGAAGTCTGTGTATACAAACGGTTCAATCTCCGGGATGCTCAGGACACGATCTGTTCACTTCAAACCACCGGTCTATACATCTAAAATAAAAATAAACAGAAATAATTATTATAATTAATTAAATATATAGCACAAAAGTATAATTGACATGAAACGTTCCGTGTTAAAACTTAATACATACAACAAATCCAGCATTAAGAGTGTTTATAAAATAAACCGCAATTCGTAATCGAATTAAAAATAAAAATTTTATGACTAATATAAATTATTATAGTCAAACAAGGATATTTTGTTTTTTTTTTTATTTATACTGCTCTCTTGATATTAAAAAAAAAATAAATTTCTGTCCAACCAAGCAACAGCTTGATGTATAATTAAATTAAATCTATTATACTCGTCATAGTATCAAAAATATTGGTCGGTCAATGGAAGACACTGGTGATGCGAAGTCTTTTGTAATATACCTAACTACAACCAATAATAAATGTGACGTATTTTCTCGTATCGATTAAATCATACTAGAGCCACTACCAAACTTTTAAACATGTCTTCTTTTAAGTATATAGTATGAAAATAAAAAAAAAACCTTGAAACTCTGAACACGTAACACTACAAACACAAACAATATAATATCTTCCCCCAGTTAAAATTACAACGCGTTAAATTCATAATGAACCAAGTATTTCCTAGGTCAACAATCTTTTAATATAATTCACACTACTTAATACATGTAGGTAGATACGCAAAATAATCATAAAAACAACAGAGACGACATCGTCATACGTTATAAAATACGATTGACGCAAACATATAAATCCACAAGTTAAAATTCCTACAACTAATAGTTTCTTATATTATATTATAGCAAAATTTGTGTACCTACAATTTTTCACAGAAATAAACAATAATAAAAAAATTATTTATCAAAAATACGTAGGTATAAGGTGATGAGAGAGAAGTGAATCTATAACATACGAACGATTTTCAAGGGACTAATATTTTAGTACACTAAGTTTGATGAAATTATTATTATATTGTTAAGATTTTCATTTTATATAATACAATTGTATTTTAGTTGTATTTCGATTTTCGTTAGTCAACGAAATATCTGTAGACGACTATATTGAATAGTGCAATTGAAGTAACCGTCTGCATGCGAGTCGTACACAGTATACACACATTTTTTAATATTATATTATTTTTGCAAATTATGCGTTGTTTAAAGATTCTGAGTAAAGCGATACATGTATTTATTTTATTACATGTATAATTTTTTTTGTGCGAGTACATTGTACACGCTCAATAAGTAATTGATAAAATACTTCAATATTCAAATTTGAGGAAGGTTTCTGACAAAAAATTGGACCTAGGTACTATGTATTTCAAGAACAAAATATCAAGGAAAAACTGTGATTTAAGCGAAATTAGTTTTTTGACGAAATTGATTTTGTTTTTTTGGTGTAATATAAAAATAAATAACGTTAAATACTTGAAATTTTCTAAAATATTTATGTTAGTATTACTAATACGTAATAAAATAAACATATGTCGGCTATTTTCGAGCTATTTATAGATTAGAAATTTGCAATTTTATTTTAGTTTTTTATAAATATAGTAAAAAAAAAATATATCACAAAAGAAATATGTTTGAAAATTAAATACTTGTTTTTCGCAATCACAATATTTTTTTGTTAAATCAAAATTCTTGAAAATTTAATAAAAAATTCCACATAAATTTTTCTTATATCTATATAAAAATAATAAAAGAACACAATCACAATTTTCATATAATATACATTTGAAATTAAAATTCTGACTAAATTGGGGAGTATTTTATAATAAAACATTTACAAAATTTTCAATTTTTATAGCTTATAAGTTTGAAAATGTAATACAATAATGTTCCTCAATCCTCATAAGTAATTTACACTGGAACTAAACATTTAAATCACATAAAACCGAAATAGTTTTTTTGTTATAAAAATTTGAAATTAAAATTTGGACAAAATTACTTATTTTAATGATGAATAACAATGTTATAATCATTTTGTTACAATTTAAAAACATTGTTCGTTGGAACTTAGAACCTTTACGTAGATTATAAATTTTACAAAACATAATGACATTTTCAAAATAAGTAAATCATTGTTTCTCAACTTTTTTAGTGTCTGATCCCCAAAATAGGTATAAAATATGGTCAATCACTTCCGACCCTCCTCCCTATCTATATAAAGTACAAATTTGAACAATAAAAATATCATATCATTAACCGATTAACAAAACAAAATATACCATTTCGATTATCAATTTATAAATACCATGTGTAGTAATTTAAACTTGTCACGGGTAAACTTTATGTCTCGGGCTGAAGAGGAGAGCCATTATTTTAAGTATTTATTTTTTTTTGTTCAATAAAAAATTTTAAATAAAAAGGTTCGATTTTTAAATCAGCGTTTTATTATTTTTAACCTACACGACCCTTAGGGCCTAGTTAAGGTGATCGCGACCCCCAGATTGAGAAACGCTGAAGCCGATTTATTTCAAGATATTACCAATTTATACTATGACCTTATTCACACTATTTTAAGGTATTTACAGTAAAGTATAATTAACTTATAAGTTAATAACAATAATACAATAAATGCAATGTTTTCGGCAAAAATTAAATCAACCCACAATAATAACAATAGTTAAATTAATTACGCTAATAGAAATATCAACTAACACATGAAATATAGTTATATTATAAACTGGCAGACCATCTTCGCTTAGAATCGTTTTTTGTATTAATGCAATATTATCATTAAATTAAAATTGAACACATCCATACAATGACCAATTCGACACCTAATGTACAGCAAAGTGGTACCTTCTTCTTCTTCACCTTATTTTTTTTTTTAATTATTCGTTTTATAATGGTACGCTAGCTAAAAAGAATCAATCATAATATTTATTTGACAATAGCAGATACAAAAGATATACGTTTTTAGCTTATCGTTCAAAAGAAACACCCTTTTTAATATTAAGAACAATCAATTATGTACAATAAAGTTTTTTCTAAAAAGTTGTTTCCATTATTTATTGTTTAAATATTTATTATTATTAATCTAATAGTCACAAATCACAACAACTAAACCTGGTAAAAAGAGAACATTTTAGATCTCAATTAAAGAGTATGAAATGTTTGGAGTATTATTCCTATCAAAAAAACGAAGTCAAGTACACATATAACACTTCTACTTTTTTCGGGTTATTATTTAAATTAAGTAATAACTTCTATTGAATATATAAAATAACTTTTAGAATATACATATACATTATACACAATATACTCGGTATTTTAATAAACCAAGTGTACCTATACTTTAATGATTTTATATGAATACGTCTTATTCATAAGTTGTAATTTAAAATTTTTATATTTCATCTTCGACTAATTGACATTTTACTCGGTCAAGTTGACTCTATTTAAGTGGTCCTTATAACAAAAGGTAGTATAAGTCATATATTTTGATGTTCGTATTTATTCTTCTTGGGTTCGTTATAATTATTTTTATAGTCGACTCATAATTTAAGCAAAAGTCTAAAAATAATACAAACATTATACACGATTAGATAGTTACAAGCATTTCACTATCATCTCCTGAAATTTAAATTTTCTAAGTCTATTAAATCACAAAAATATCTACAAATCGAAATTTGAATGACTACAATATTAATTATTAAACGAATTTTTAAAGTAGACATTATATATTATTGATAAATTTTGAAAAAAAAAAATGATTATATCGCGAATGACGCTGGCTAAGACTATTATTTTATTGAAATACCAAACTATATAGTGAGAACATTAGAATAATATATTGCCTATAGGTTTCTTTAACTTTATAAGTAATCAAGGATATAGGAATTATATTTTAAAATAATATGAAAGTCTGTTAATTTTTCGATATTAATCTACAACATTTGGTGTAATAAATTATAAGAAATCTAAATTATTACACTATAACATAATCAAATATAATAATAACAAGTATTCCAAGAAATTTTAGAAATATATTATGCATAAGTGAATAAGAAGAGTTTAATAATAGGCCAATTTACCTAAACACAAGTTATCTACTCAGATAATTTAACTGTTAAATGATACATCATTTAAATTTAATTAATGATCAAAACTTTATTAAATACTAACATAACTATTACAAGTACGATACTGTAAAACATTTACTATTATTCTTCAAAAAATGTTTAAAAAAAATATCAAACAATAATATATATATACAATATGCATTTATCAAATTTATAATATTGTTTTGACCAAAATATAATAATACTATTAAATAGTTGGTAAACTTTAGGTATAAGCATTAAAAATTTACGATTAAAAAAATAAGTAGCAACAAAAAAAAAAACATAATCAAAACATAGACGGACACAGTTTTTAAGACATTCTCTCAATTTTTAGAAAAATCAAACTTGTTTAAAATTGTTTAACAAATGGAATGATGAATATTATTATTACAAAAAAAAAAATAAGTTAAACAACACGTTAAAATAAGTCACGTTCTCAGTGGCTCAGGCAAATTCTGTATTTCATTTTTTATTCTTGTATAACTTATACTACAAACTTAATTAAATTATAATTACAGTATTGCACCAAAAATTATTTCTATAACATGAAAATATAAACAGAAAGATGATTATATATTTTGAGTTTAAAGACTAGGAAGGAAGCTAAATCCCTGTTTTGTTTAACCTTGATTTAGGAATGTAAAAAATTTTAAATCAAAAGAACTCGTCTTGCTGTACTTGATTTTGGAACGTCCATTGAGTTTTAGCCAAAACCAAAAATATCCTTAAATTTCAAGAGTAAAAGAGTAGGGTTAAGGCATCGGTCCAAAATAAAATGATTATTGTATTTACTTTACTGCTTTCTTCAAACATCTGTATTACATCTTTGTATTTTACCGCAGTAAAATTATTACGTTGTTTAATTTTCATTATCAATGGAACTTTTAAATAGATTAAGAAATTGAGTAGGAAACTATGTTTTAAGATTAATAAAAGTCAATTTAGACAAACCAATAAAAATAATTATTAAAATGAGGCAGTGATGTACATCCTAACTACGGTCTCCTCAAATTTAAGAGAATTTAAAAAAGCTTTCAGTATTTTTGAACCTACTACATAATAATATGTAACCCATGTATGCTTTCTAAATTCTCCTCCCTCTAAAAAAAAAAGCAATTCTTACTATGCAACTGAAACATGGATAATAAATAAAATTATAAATAGAATACAATTTTAAATGGATCACTAGGATAGGAGTTATTTTAGTTGTATTATAATATATATTTAAAATCATTACCAAATAAATAATAAAACTAAGGTTAACAACGATTATGAGCAAATATAGTTAGCTACAATAAACGCATTTGGAACTATTTCGTCAAGAGTAATTGTTTTTGGAAAGTTTTTTAAATTAAATCAATACTTCAACTAAAAAAAAAAATTGCTTTGAATTAATTTAAATTTAGTCCTAAAACATTGCTAGACACCTAAAAAGTTTGCTAGTATTTGTTATTCGCAGTTAAAGAATAATTTTATATAGTGTAAAATAGATTTTTAACATAATTGCAAGTGTTTGTAAAAAAAAAAAAACCATTTATAAAGGTAACGATAACCTTAACTTTTAAAATAAAATTGTTCAAGTCTCGATGACCAATATATAAAATTACAAATTCTACATAGAAACATAAACTATGCGATTTTTTAATATATTTAAAGTAGTAAAAAAAACATAGATAAATATAAATTTTGAATATACTTACGTTTTATGGTATACGCAAAGACAAGGAAGCCTGGCTATGGTATCACCTTGTATCAGTTCTTCCAGACATATGACACATTCACCTTTATCATCTTTTAAAACGTCTTCTGCAAAATAACATGATAATTATATCATTATATTAATATCAATAATACATTTTTATGAACAATATTTAAAAAATATTAAACCACATATTATTAGTTATATTTAATATATTTATTTATTGAAAATAACAGTAAAAACTAATAAATATTTCATTACTTACCGTTGTAAATCAGTCTAGGTTTGGTCAAGCACATAACCAGATGTACTTCTATCTCATCTGGTAAAACAAACTTTGAACATACCGGACACTTAATTCCTAAACAAATAATTAATAGATAATGTAATGTTATAAAAAAGTATACTTATTATTGTATAATTATAAAATATTTTTTTTTTTAATTGTAATACACAATCTATATATGTATTATATATATGCATATTTATAAGAGTATTAAAATATATGTTAAATATTAAAATGAATCAAGTTAAATTAAAATGAACATAATTAAATATGACAAGATAAATTCTGAGGGACACTCATTTAAATGATATGTTAATAGAGCGTTTTATAAATAGTAAGTAGTCATAAAAATAAATGCAAGTAAATATTTTATATCGTCACTAAGCTAAATAATAAATACATAAAATATATTAGGTAATTATTAATTACGTTTTAACTACTTTACAAAATAACTACCTAATCAAATATGTTCTTATAATTTTCAAACATCAATTTCATAACGGAGGTAAAATAACTATAAAACAACTTTTGTAAAATATTAAAAGCTCAATAAATAATTTTTAAAAATCTTTTGAATTTAGCAGTATTTGATTAAATGGCAATTTAAATATAACTTATACCAATTATTATCAATAACTTACAGTCAGTTTATAATGATTTATTGAATATTAACTTAAACGTTTAAAGTTGATCAAAGAATAATTATCGAATTCACATTTTTTTTCTCTTAAGCAGTTATATATTAAATGTGATTAAAATCGATATAAAAACTTAATACAATATCAAGAAAAACATTGTTAGATATATCTACATGAACTCTCAAATAAGCATGCTCGGTAAGACTCATTTAATCTGTAGAAATAAATTAGAATAATATAAAAAATTAAAGCATTACATGTACGCATTGTATTCATTTAACAATATAGAAAAACAACATATTATTTTAATTGAATAATTAATATTATCTTTTAAATATAATTATAATTTTTCTTTCAATTTCCAATCTACTATGAATTTCAAAGACGTCTGTACATACTACATTATATAGTTTATTAATAATTGGAACGAGTGAAAACGCTTTAAAAAATGCTCTACTAAAATTATAATACACAAATACTAAATTCATAAAAATACTGATTGTTTTGTGTAATATTATGAAAATCATATATTAAAAAGTAGATTCTAAAAATATATTTCAGACGAGGTTTCAAAAAATAATTTATATAAGTAAACGCATACAACACAATAATTATTATTTTCATATAATAACGAGTTCAATAATACTATGAAAGACAATGAACTAATAAATATCGTAAATGTCTATACAATAAGTATGAATATAGCTTGCAATAAGTATATTATAATAACTGAGAAACTTTTTAGTAACCTATATAAATAGAACTCAAATAAGTATCGGAGTGTTATTACTCAAAAAAAGTCCAGTAAAAATTGTACAGGCCAACCATATTATAATCAAATCATATTTAATAATTTAGTTTTAAAACTAAAAAAATATAAATTATTAAACAATAATATTCGAAAATTAAAATAGACATTTAATTGATAATAAACATAAAATATTATAAGATATTTATCTTTGTATAAAAAGTTTTAGACCCATCATTTCTTATTAAATACCTAGTGTTAGATAATAAATACATTAAAATGTATTAATTGGCTAACTAAGAGGTTAAGTACAACACTTTTAACTACAAAAACTACCTAACTATAGCGATGAATTTAATTTCAGAAATATTTTTACGTCTCGACAAAGCTATAACTTAAAGTTAAGAATGTGTATGGTGTACAATGTGTATGTCACTAATCAGTAGACAGTAATCACTAAATAGATTAAAATGCATACTTAATTATTTTTTATACTTAGTTGCTGTAATAGACAGTATCGCTTATACTACTATTGGAGGACAGGGAAAAGACAATTCTGAGTATATAATAAACAACAAAGAAATCATATTTTTGACTGGCTCACTGCTAACTAGACGTCCTTGTTTCCCATGTGTACGAAGAGTAGTAATCATTCTTGAAAATATAACGTCTTATCAATTCGCTTTTCAAGGTCTCGACGACTAATAAAAATTAATTCGATATCGCTAAATAATAAATATATATAAGTACGTGTACCTACATATAATAATAACAACATGTGATGTTTTTAACAGTATAATAACATTGAGAAATTATTATAAGCGAAAATACTGACTTATACTAGCTTAAAATACAAAACTACCCGTTGACGGACCTTATACTTATTTACATTAGAAAATAATTTAACCGCTACTTAGGAAATATAATATCGTCTGTTCTTAACACGAAAACAGTACATAATGTTTAATGTATAATGTATATTGACCATCACATTAATATAGACAATACTCGTTTAGATTAAACACGTGTCACCCATTATCACTGAGCATGTGAAACGATAAAAAGAAGTGCGTTATTTTTTTGACAAAATTAGAAATTAAAAAAAATAGTAATTATAGTTTACGATTAATTAATAACCAACGAAAATAAAAATTGCGTTCAACTAATTATAAACAAAAATAAATGAAAAATAAAATAAAAGTTAAAACAAAAGTTTTAAGCAATAGCTTAAATCATATTTTAAAAGGCATTTTATAGGATACAATAGTTTGCAATTTAATTCTCATCTCAAAAGAATTGTGGTAATATTACACTAAAGAAAATTGAAAAATAGGAAGTTTATTTTTTGTCAAATTACAACTAATTATTTTTGCTTTTTGCTAAACTATTATAATATACTAAAAATTCTATAGAGTACATTATAATTTAAAAGACAATCTAATTATTAAGCAGAAATTTTATAATTTATTTATATAATTGACCACCTGCTAGAGTTAATTTATTTTAAACCTTCATTTCAAGTATTGAAAGTAATAACTGGTTCAAGGTTTAATTATTTAATTTTGTTTATAAATTAAAGATAATAATATATATTTTTTTTTTTTAATGATAAATATTAACACGCAGCATTAGAGTAATTAATATATTGTCTAAAAGCCAAAATATAAGTAAAATAGGTTATATTATGAAGTATTAATTAAATGTAAAATATTTATTTTACTAATTTATCTTTTGTTAAGAAAATCTGTAATAGAGAAAAGAAAAAAGTGTATTATTGGGCTACATGACTTTTATCCAACAGCAATTTTTACACGATTTTCCTCTCTATTGTTTTGTAAGTGTGTATCTGTAATGTGAGTTATTTTTGAACATTATAATTAATACTAAAAAAATTAAAAACATTAGGATATTATTATTATTCATTAAGTTATCAATAAGTATTATAACAATACTAAGAGAACGTCATATCCACGTGTGTTATCTGCATCTTCCTAACGTGATATATATATTAAAACTTACGTTCGCTATTTCTAACTTTGTGTTGTTCCCTTAAATCCAAATTAAATTAACTTTTTATCATACTTAAAGGTAAGGACATTAAATGTATTTTCTCGATGATTTTTTTTATGATATTTTAACTATTAAACAAATCATGAATGTGTAAACAATTAAAATATTGTAGAATACCAACGACAGAACACGGATAATGTTTAAGATTGATAATAAGTTAGTTAACTCATACATAAAATCTAACAACAGAAAATTGGAACTGTTGAACGTATATAAGACAAAGACAACATTTCAGGTGTGACGTCCTTTTCAAAAATAACATTAGCTAATTATCATCATTAATTGATTTGCTAAACAATTAACCTAAAAATACTAAACAACCACAAGGTACAGACTACAACGTTTACATTACACTATTTTTCTTTCTTTTCAAATTAGATCTAGTTTGTACATTAAAAGAGTCAGATTTTTTTAATATTTTTAAAAATAATTAAAACAATTAAGGATAAAAAGAAATTTTACGCAAGGTTAGGCAAAACCAGTGTTTGATTGAATTAATTTTATTTTTTGATGTAACACAAAAACCAATAACCACAAAACCTTAAAATGTTCACCAAATGTTTAGATCGAAATTAATATGATAAAATTATCAGAACCTAACTATTTTTGAGCTATTTATAAGTTAAAAAGCTTGAAAATTTAATACAAAAATTTTATAAGCATCTGAAGTGTTTTCGTCAAAATCGTCAAATATTTGTGAATTATTTTGTAATTAACAATTTATGAAATGTTAAGTTTTTAAAGCTAAGACTTGAAAATTCAATATAAGGTTGCTCATGAGCAGTTTATTTTGGAACAAAAAAACTATAAAAACACATTTTTTATAGACATTTGAAGTTCAAATTTGAACGAAATTATATATTTCAACGAATAATAATGATAGTTATTTTGTTATAAATCAAAAATACTTATAACTTGTATGTATATTATGAATATTTCTATACATAATAACATTTTCGAAATATATGGATTCATTTTTAGATATCTATTTATACTATGATCCTATTTACATTTTACGTTTCTCAATTAGGTGGTATTGACAAAAAGTTATCACTTATTATTCATTAACAATATAATATGGAAAAAATATAGTACAGCATAAATATGTCTATAGTCTAAACTATTAATAATAAACAGAATATTTTCGACAAAAATTAAATCATCTTACTGCAATACTGTTATTGAAATAAATTATATTAATAGAAATATCAAAACTCAAAAGACAGATTATGAAACACACTTAATGATATAGTCTAATAGACAGTCTCGATTTTTTTTTTCGTATACAATGCTTAGTATATTATTAATATACATTTATTACAGAAAACCATTCATTGATACCTACTTGCCTCCATTTCTTTTTTTTTTTAGTATAAAATAACCTATGTAAATCAAAAAAAAATAAAAATGTATAACAAAAAAAAAAATAAAAAAATATTACTAATTTTCTAACAAGAACGTGAAAAATCTTTCTTTCTTACTACATTTATATAAACTTCAATCCACCGTTAAATTCAAACTAGGTACTTAAATTAATCAAAATAGCAAATATTTGCAAACATATATTAAAGAATAATTTTCAACTATTTTATTTTTAGTCTTATCTTTGTACATTTTAT